GGGGGGACCTCGAGCGGCGCTGCTGGCCGTCGAGGCCGCACACTTAGGCGCGGGCATGCGGGGCTCCACGACGCGCAGATCTGGCATGTAGGAGTCATGCTGAGCGGGAGGGCTCCAGGTCGCGAAGATCTGGCGTGTGGCGTGGCGCATGGTGACCGCGGCTGGTTCACGAGCGCGGGTGGCGGTGGCAGATCGGCAGGACGATGTTGGTCACTGTGGTGGGCGCGGCATGGTGGTTCGGCCGCTTGGCTGGTCGCTGGGCGGCTGCGCGTGGTTTCTGGAGGGGGGTCTGGATCTGGCAGGTCGGGCTGGTGGCCCGGGAGGCGTACTGCAAGGAGGCTCCAATCATGGTTGGATGCGGGGTGCAGGACCCGCTCGGGTTTCTGCAGGCTCGTCGTCAGGGAGGCTAGCGATAGCCCTGCACAGCGTTCGCATGCTCACTGTGTGGGGGTACACGGTCTAGTGTGGGGGTACACGGTCTAGTGGACGTGTCCAGTAGACGTACGAGTTGGCCTCAGCCGGCTGCGTGGGAGTGGTTGCCACGGGTGAAAGCCTGGCCGGTGCTACCGGCCGGCGGCGACGGCGCCCGTGGGCGTCGGTATTCTCCTTGGAGGCGTCCTCTGGAATCTTCACAGCCTCTACTCCCGGATCATGTTCTTTGGGTGAAAGCCATGATCCTGTTGCAGGGTCGGGCGGTGGCGTTATCTTCAACGTCGTTCCCCTCTTTAGGGTGTCGTCTTGAAGACCTTGAACCCATTTGTACTTCCTATGGATGGACATGCACGGTGGCTTTTGTGGCAACGGTGACCGTGGTGAGAAATGTCGGAGGCGTGCAGTGACATTGGTCGTGGTAGTCCGTAGTCGGCTCTTCTCAAGCATGTCGTGGAGTTGCCTTGGTTGTATGTTCCTGTGAAGTCGAAGCTGCGGTTGTTAGGTATAATCTTGAGTTCGTGTCTAGTTTAATCCTGATCGGGGTGTCCGGTGATTAAGCCCGTTCTGAACGTTAGGAAGTCTTGGCCGTGTCTATGTTAGTTTGGTTAGGATTAATAATACGTGTCCATATTGAGTCCTAGTAGTAGTCAGCTTTGGCTGAGTTAGTACGTCCAGTAGTCCGTCTAGGTTTTTAGTAGGAGTCCTAGTAGGATTTGGTTAGCCGTGTAAGTTTAGGTTGTTTGGGTCCTGCATGTATATATATACACGGGCAGGCCATGGCTTTTGTATTATTGTGAGAAAAGGAGAAAATAAAAAGAGGAAAAAGAAAGAGGCACGACACGTGCCTTTGGCCATAAATTTCGTGCGCGTGTGTTCGTCGTGATTTGATGTGATCGATCCTGTGGGCAAATTCCAACAGCGGTGGCGGAGCCCCGGTGGTGTACGATGACGCGTGACAGGTGGTTCATTAGGCGCTTTTGTGATGCTAACCTTGCCTAGTTTCTTTGTAGTTCACCGAGCTGCGTCATCTTAGTGTGGAGTGTACGGAGTGTCGTGCTGCAGTTAATAGGGCTGCAGTTTTTCTTTTCTTTGATCTTTAGATCTTCTTGTCCTAGGAGCTAGGACCTTCATCATCTTGTTGTTCCCGTTGTTCTATGCTATTATCAATGAAAATACAGTGATGCTGGATCTTTAAAAATAACCAGAGTTGGTTTAGCCAACGGACGGCTGAAACTGTTGGATGACGTTCAAATAATGAAGTTTCAATGGTCCATCTTGGATCTAGCACACCGTCACACATCAACAATGACTTCCCTTTCTTCCTTGATTAGTTAGCCATTTAATCTGTTACTTCAGACTCAACAGAATGTAAAATATAGGGTCTAGTATATTGTATATGTACATGTATTTGTA